CGTCAATCGTGTTAATCACTTTTTATTGCTGCTGCTCATTGCGCGATGCATTTCACTATTAATAATATAAGGTTAACCGTTGAAAGCATCTGATTCTGAATCTTGTAAAAATTTCTCACATTTGTTTACTCACAGTAATCGATGATTGTTGATGTGTATTTTTGGCTAGTCAAAATGGCTGAGTATTATTTCACGAATATCATTTAGATGAATTTATATTATTTTCAATAAAATGAGAAAACTTAATCGAGAATCATTCCAGTTTCTAGACTCATTTTTAGCTTTATGTGGTACATTATGCCTATGTTTGACTGTATCAAGAAGCTCCATAATAACTTAAAGCATCAATTTCAATGCACGGCACAATTTCGTCTAAAATTCTCTGAGTAATTGCACTGGTATTGGTTGCTGGCGTTCCAGAAAGTAGTTCAATAGCTATTGTCTGGTTATCAAAAAGAGAACAAAGACAGAAAAAAATACTCATTGTCGATCATATTCATCAAAATAGAGCAACGAACGTGTAATATATCAAAATTTTGATGAATACTAAGCGAATGATCACCATTCCCACTGAACAACTGCTTACAATCAACGAAAATGCGCTCTTCAAAGCTAAAAGTGATTTTGTTGGTTTGTTTATGTAACGGAAGATGTTATTGGTTCGTTAAACGTTGATTGATAGTACATATAAATATGCGTGTTTTGTTGAACGTTGCTCAATTCGAGACTCATTTCGCAGCTGTTATAATTCTTGTGTACTTCTCATTCATTCACTGATCATTATTAGCTCGATTATTGTTTCAGCGAATTTCACAACTTCATTATCTCTTTATCATTTTCATTCTCACTGCAATATTGTGGCATTTCAATCACAAACGTTGATCCAGTCAGTCTCTTCTCACTGTCCAGGACTATTTGAGTGAAGAACGCGAAAAAGACCTCCATATAGAGGTGATTCTGAATTGTATCAGAAGATGTGGTGCATTACCGTCTTGATCCGTTCTTGCAGCAACTAAAGTACACAGCACCAGGAGTAGCGTGCCTATTCATCAAGGGATAAAATTCTGATGTTTTGGATCGTTCCTCATTTGCAGATTAGCGGTTTCTTCAGTTGTTCATACATAGTCGGCTCGAATACAATCAAATTGAGAAGAGATGGATGTGATCTCTCAAATGTGTCAGAACATCACTTCATTTAGGCACGCAACATTTTCATTCAGTTTAAAGAGTACTGCACTACTGAACGCTGCAAGCTGGATTAGCGCATGATATTGCCGAATGCATATTATCGATGAGCTTTCAAGGACAAATCTAACGATTGAATAATTTAAGAGTGCGCGTGCCTGGATGCTGCTTACATGTTTAATGACATAAGCACACAATAAAGCAAAATGTCACATCATAAATCATTCATTATTGCATTTTGACCGATGAGCGTTATCCATAGACACTGTGATTGTGATCTGCTGCTTGGCTTGATGCATCTTTTCTGTTGTTGTAAATGAAATTGCTATTGCACTGAGTCATCTTCAAAGCATCACTTTGCGATTCACATCATGGTGCTACCATTATTATTGTTTCCTTACTACACTGTTTCAATTCCACAGAACGGCTCAACTCTAGCTAGCCAAGCATATTCCAACTGTAGCAAGTGCTGGAAGCGATCAGTCATACCTCAGTTTTTCATCACGTGAAATTTGCTGCAATAATGAGTTGAGGCGAAGTCACCTGATGTATCGCAATGAATCTTGGACTTCTCGCGCTGATTAATACGTCGCCGTTCTTCGGCATTCCAATGAGCTGCCTAGCTCAGGCATCCCGAGCAAAGATACTGATTCATCATTTCCGATGGAATCATTTAGTGCCATCGGAAAAAAGCCTCAGAAATTTAATGTTTCACCACTGCCTTTGATTGAGGCACAGATTGATCGAGTGAGTGCTAAACTGCTGAGCTTATTACAGCGTCAAAGCATTCGTTTTTGTATTATTGCATGTATATGTAACAAAATTATTGAATTATGTTACGCAACGCCATTGTTATGTAAGCAATTTGTGTTTATTACGCCGTACTGATAAGCATCGAATTGATCCGTTTGCCATTACGATTTTCAATCGCCACCTAATCGGTAACTGTCCCTCGACCAAAATACTGTCAACAATTCGTTTCGCTGACAGGAATTCATGATGAGATAGCAACAACAACAACAACAACAAGTTAATCTTTTGTTTACTGTTTACCGAATTGGTCACTTCGAATTTTCAAACGTCAACATCGTTGTTCATGAAAGATCATTTCACAATACTATCATGGAAATTTAAGTATATAACGAATGGTGTTCTTACTGTTGCAATGCTTCTTGCCAGCACTTTTCCGTCGTAAAATCTTTTCCTACCTTCTTGCATGGTGAAATTCGTATTTGTAGGCCGGGTGACGTTCATTCCCGATGAGGTCTCGTGGATGGCTCGCGGAAAGAGTGAAATAACATTTATAATCAATGAATTGGATACTATGGTTTTTGGAAGTTTTTTCCGAAATTTGTGATATTTGACGGAACACTGAACGTTCTTTTTTCGACTCAAATTACAACTTCGTTTCAAGTTCAAAAATCTCAGATATGTTTCTGTGGGTGTCGATGTTCAACCGCTCACTTTTTGAAATATCTCTTCAAATATCCTAACTGAAAGTGGATCTATCCTTTTCACTTCTATTTGGCTGCACTTGGTGAAGTTTGAACGTCTGATTTAGCTTTTATTTTCACATTCATCCATTACTGTTTGATTCACCATGATTCCATACTGGTGTGTGGAATTCAATTTAAAAGCTTCAGCTTATGAAACTATTATTTTTTCAATCATATTTGTGAAGGGTTTGCCGCAAATCATGTATTTATTGCCCTTCCATACCATTAAATTGATAACCTTATCATGATTGTCACATGTAATCCGTATTTTTGATCACCTCTTCCACTGACATTGGCGCCTTTGAAAATTGTATTCGGTTAGAAAAAAGCGATGAACTTTGGAACCTTTTCTACTGATATGTACGATGAAGGTATGCAATCGCAAGCATTCATAAAACTGGAATAAATTCTTTTCGAGCCCTCTAAACCGTTTTTTGGGTTCAGTGAGTTGGGAAGCGTTAAGCAGCCCGTATGGTGATGAGCTGCTCATAAACCATGGGAAACCATCGTTTTCAACAGTATTTCAACTGTACTATCATATGGATGCTGATTTGAATTTTCGCTGCACATTTTCGTGAAATATGATCATGAGCAAACGTTGTTTATGTGAGCAATTTGATCGTGGACGCTGCGTAATAATTTTTTGCGCGCCGATTTCGATTTTCAAAATTTACTTACAAAAAGTTTGGATGGTTTTAATGAAACGCTTCACGTTTCTATTTTCACTCGTCCGAGCTCGTAATCCATTATCTCGAACATAGCGATGAGAAGCAATCGGCCTCATATTTCATTCTTACGAGATACAAGATCGTTTGTGTGCATATTTCGTTTCTTCTAAATCAAAACTTTCATCACATCGCTCTTGTCGAGGTGATCGATGTTGGGTCGTTATTCTGCAAGGCATACAAATGACCATTTAATTCAATAGACTTATTCTAAACCCAATGAGACTTTTAAAATCTCTTATGTGAAAAATTCGTGTATAAAAGCTGTGCATAATAAACATTCAAACGAAACTGTTCAAGTTCTTCATGTGTTCATTGCTGTGGATCTGATGCTTCACTTTCCTCAGCCACAAACTTCAACACTCTCAGTTACATCACGTTCGGAATGTGACGTATGAGAATTGAAAGGTTCATAAATATTCTAATATATCATTCCACTGATGACCTTCTCTTCTTCGAGTCTGTATTTTTGACGCATTTCAACGTTTCTTTAGACCGGAACGACTTTGTTCTCGCTGCTCCAGTGAGACGCCCATTTGTTTTAAATGTTTTTGCACAGCCTAAACGTTAGCACTGGATCGTTTTCGTTTGATCATTGTCAGATCACATTTCAGCTAGCGATCGGTGTTCAATCAATTTCACTGAAATGATGAAATTTCAAGAAACTGTTATGATGAACTATCTCCTTTGAGTTGTAGCACTCTTTTAATGTTCGATTGATCTATTCAGCGAGCTTAACACCAACCTAATGTTATATTGTGAATGATTTGAATCTTGACACTACCCACTTCTGTTTGAATTTGATGCAGCCAAGTATGAATCAGTCCAGGAGGAATGTGTGCGGAACGTGCGATATTTAAAAAAGTTATGATATGAGTGAGGATTTTAAATGAGCATGTCAGCAAAATTTTACGATGAGTAGGAAGTGTTCATTTGGGTTCGTCCATGATGTTTGATCGCTTTCGAATAGTGCTGGTGCAGTTCAAATGATTAGGCAAAAAACGTGAACAGGCAAGGTATGATTAGCATCAATGGCCAATTTTTTCATTTACGAACATTTGTAAGATTCGTTACGTTTCTAAAAAGTTTATCAATTTGACTGATCATTTATTAGTTGTGGATTAATGACCCATCATCGACTCGACAAAAATAATGATGCAAACGTTTTGAAATGGCAAAAAAACGATAAAAACTAACGGTCGTGCGAATGAAGTGTGCCTGATAAAAATGTAATATATTTTTAGATCATACCAACACCGAAAATGTTTTCTCAAATAAACTGATTCCTCAAGACCAAACGAAACTGATTCATTTTCAAATCGCCTAATAATTTTTCTTCGAACTATAAAACGCCCATTGTTGTGATATACGGACCATAATTGCTCTATTCATATTCCATTGATTGTAATGCAATGAGAACTGATTTGATTGATTCATCCAGATTAATGCATATGTAAGGTTGGGATCAACTCAACCGAGTGCTGAATGACCGTTCACCTGTCGCGATAATGCTTGCGCGATCAGTTCGTTACACTGATTGTGAATGCCTGATATCTTTGCACACACTAAATTTGAAAGGAATTTTAGGTGCACAATGAAAAGGCTCGTACATATGCAAATATTCTTCCTTTCATTTATCGGTGAGTTTAATTGAAATTTTCGATTTAATCGATGAATTCATCGCCTGACCGTGTTGATTTTTCGCCTACATAACTAATCTCGTTCAACTGGTTTGATAATACCAAAGTGGTCTGTAACTTATTGCGCTTACGATTGCAGTGTTTTGTTCGGGAAGTGAATTAACTCGGTGTTGCAACTCGGGTGCAAGGTACTTTCGTAAAACGGCTACATGCTCGGCAATACCAACCGAAAGTGCGGCTGTTACATGCACTCGTACTGCATCCATATGTTGTCTGAGAGCAATACTCGATCAGGCTTGTGATCAAGGCACTAATATGGCAAAAACCGAGGAGTTTTGTCCATCCAATCTCAATCAGATAGGTGGTGGTCTGCGAAAGGTAACCAACCATCTTTCGCATTCCTTTTTCTAAGATAACATAGATAAAATATCTTGATGTGATCAAACGTGAACGTTGCATCGATCATTTGGTCGCTAATCTAACACTTAATAATTTAAATTGCATTGCGCTCAACAATTCCAGAATGAAAGTCAACTTCATCTATTCACCTGGGTGACTTTCCATTCCTTTTCGTAGATTTAAGTTCCTATTCAAAGGCAGTTGTTCAAGGAAATTCAAAAATTTACGAAGGATTTAAGGAGTGTTGCGACTGCTGCTTACTGGCGAAAGATTTGATCCATCGAAATGCTGAATGCATTGCTCCGATTGGATTCAGTGCGTATTGTCTTCGATCGTTCAACAGCTGCTGTCAGCGAAAACACGGAATTTCATTTCCACTCGTTATCACAAGTACGTTTTTTAGCCTTTAAATCTGTGGGAATTTTTTTTGTTGTGAATATTAGAAAGCTGTCCGGCTGGTATAACAGCGGAAATCCGAGCACACCAAAGACCTCCGTGCGCACCTTACAGAAGATGCCGACTGGAGGTTTGTCGGAACAACGTTTTTCATCGCATTAACATCGGAAATGGCTAGAATTGACTCTCTTAAACACTGTACTGATCATCATGGCAATGATAAAACCGCCGATTCCAGGTAGACCGGATACAATGCATTTCTTTGGTGTTGGCGATCGTTGTGCAACCTCGAAATGTGAACACCTGTGCAGTGATCGTGGTGGTGATAGCGTTGAGTGCTCATGTCGGGTTGGATACGACCTGGGACCCGATGGCACTTCATGCATAGGTTTGTGCACTGTCTCCATAATAGCATCTTTGCCTTTCGTCTCAACATTCGGAAACTGTCGAATGTTGTTCTCTCAACTACAATCGTCCTTAATGATAATGCTGACAAGCTTCGCTTTATCCGGACTTCAAATAAATGTCTAGCAGAATCATTTATGTTTTTACCGTATCACATGCATTGTCAATTTTTTCGAGTTTCCACCACGTTCGAATTGCGACTGTATTTTGCACTCAACAATCTCGGAAGCTGATGAATTTTACCAGTAATGCACATGGTTGAAAGACTTACAGTAACCACTTATCAGGTCGTAACTTCAAGCAGGAAATACGTTACAAAATTCATTTTAAGAATTTTTATTGCTTTCCCATGGAAATGCTTAATAGTTTTTTTGGCCGGTTTCCTCTACCATGCACATACTCTTCTTGAGCTCCTTGAGCTTCAACTTCCGTATTTCTTCAAATAGCTGCTTTTGGTATGACAACCCCAAATCTTTTCATTCAAATAATTTCTTCATCCATCTATGCATTTGGATACTTCACAAACATTCCCAAATCACCGAAACGAATCTGCTGGCTTCAATACGAAATGAACAAATGCAGACCGCGATGAGTGTACTACGTCGTTTGATGGTCCAACAATGATATTGTCAACACCTTGTGAAGCGAACGAAACATGTGAAAATCTGCCTGGTGGATACCGATGTTATTCACGTAATCCATCGATGCTTAGCGACGGTACAAGACCATTTCAAGTGATCGAAGAGAGTAATCTCCGCAAACGACAGCCTTATAATGTGGTACGGGAGCAACGTGGCAGACGACGATGTGAACGTGGATGGACATTGAATGAATTTGGAGCTTGTGTTGGTGAGATTATTAGAGGTTTTTCAACTGGAGACTGTGGTGTGCGATTCGCTTACCCGTTGCAAATGTCCTTTGCTATCAAATTTCTAGCGTATCCGCTTTATAAACTGCTGACAACATTAACCAGTCTACAGTCAGATGAAATTCATATTACTCAAAACGCATCTGACTGCTTCGTAATGCTAATACCTATGGAATTCTTTCTCTGTGCAACTCACGACTGTTTTGCTCAAACTAAACTCGTAAAGACTTTCACTAGATATGTATAAGATTGATCAAAAGCAATGTATTCAGCAAAATGGTTGCAATGTTTCGAAATCTCTCTTGTTTTTTGCATTCAGTTTATTTCAAAGTTTACCAAAAAACTGGTAATGTCGTCGTGAAGGCCAATTTTTTTGGAAGGTGAGTCCATTCGAGTAGCAAACGGTGGTGGTTGTAAATGTTCATTGCTGTGCAAACTAAGTGCTTCTAGATGTAGACGAATGCGAGGAAAATGCATATGTATGTTTGGATGCTAACATGCAATGTCTGAATTCACCAGGTTCATATACATGTGCCTGTCGACCAGGTTTTTACTGGAGTGATGCTGGTTTCGCGTGTGTAGGTAATTCCCTTCGCTTTCTCTTTAAGAAAATGCATGCTTTCTGCTTTACTATACGTGCACTTGTTCGCCTCACTATTACCATCTTTCCACTGTACCGGATTCAATGATCCTTCTCTCCGATCGAATGAAACGTTTTCGTGCTTGATTCGAAGTTTCGTTGAAAAGAACGTATCCTGTATTTCTGGTCATCTACTTACGCATATGATGTTACGTAGCCGATTTGAGTGAGCTGGACTGTGAAAATGCATGAACGTCAATTGGATTGACTGGGCCATGACTCATACGGATTAAAAGTACTCATATACATGTACTCATATATAAGTACCATACATACAAGTACTCATATACATGCAAAAATTTGTTGTGTTACCTTATTTACACGCAAATACCTTGCTCCATTTCTTCTCAAGTCGCATTGGAGATCATTTAGTGCAATCTGAGACTTTGAATGCCGTTTCGGAACGTCCACCATTAGACAAGTGCGTGTTGAAGAAAATCGAAAGTGAGGTGAAACATATAATAACACAACCAGCTAGAGCACTGAGAATCACGTAATTCTAGTGCATACTGATCACTCTCCTTACTGAGGAATTTATCCAATAAATACGCATGCATATTAATTAATAAATCTAACGAACACTTCAATAACGCACTTCTCATTACAAACTGTCAATATGAAGTCATCAAGGTTGAATTCATCGCAACAGGCGAAAGTGGCCACGATGCAAGACACTTAAGATGTTAAGAGTGAATAAGTAAAAAGTTGGCAGTATAATCCTCCGAGCTACTCAAAACAATTTTGCAGCTTGAGCTTAGCCAGCGAATTATTCCGAATTTCTCTTGTTGAAAGTATTCGCTGTCGGACAAATTCTGTTGTTGAAAAATATTCGAACATGTTCATCCATAAATGTTGTTCAGCATTTGATTGTTATGATCAGTAAAATTTTAACCGGGAGATGTAAGTCTCACGACAGCTTCGATTTAATAAAAGCATGTCGCATATTCTTAGACATAGACGAATGCTTGTTGCTCGTGGATGATTGCTTGGAGAGTCAACGTTGCTTGAATACGCCTGGATCATTCAAATGTATTCGAACGATATCGTGCGGTACCGGATACGTCATCGACAGCGAGAATACCGAAGAATGCATTGGTCGTTAACATTAACGGTTTTACTGTCAATTCACTCACAACACTTATGATTCGTGCTTACGAGCAAACTCATTCCATGAACTTTTGCAAATAACCAACGCAAAATGAGGGGAGGGCGTGTAATTTAATGGTCGAGTTAGAATAAGTTAAAATCTCTGAGTTTTGGTATGCACTCTACGTAAGCCGTCCGAGATTAATGGAAAAAACCAGTCAACGTAACCTGGAATGAGATGTGCAGGGGATGATAACGGAAAAACCGGAAATCGCTCAATCGCTAAGATTCCACTGAAAATGTAGAACAAACATTTAATGAGCAACAATATACTCCCTTACGAAATCATGGTCGTCCTACGGATTCTCACGGTTGATGGAGTCAGTTTGCTGTTTTTAACCATTCGTCCATTTTTGGTGTTTTGGGCATAGGACGAATTGCCATTAGAGCATGGATAAATTCTTCAGTGAAAGGTATGCCCAGAACCTTATATTTGTATTTATGTGTTTAGACGTAGACGAGTGTACTCGAGGACTCCACGATTGTGGTCCTCTTTATGTATGCCGAAATACGCAGGGCAGTTATCGATGTGACCCCAAAAAGTGCGCTGCTCGAGAAGTAATGAATCCGAGGACTGGTGAATGCACACATGTTGACTGTCCGATTGGATTCTTGCCGAACAACGGCCGTTGTGAAGGTCTCTTTTTTCGTCACCCTTATTGTATTCCATCTATTTGAAAATGCCCTCTTGTGTACTCAAGCCGTATTGTTCGTCAAATTACCAATTAATTGTGCAGTTTCTACTCAGTGGGTTAAATTTGACTGCATGAAATTCATGCATCGCTAGAATTACTGAATAGAAAAGCTGAAATTATTTCTTAGACTTGCAAATCTTCTTAGTAACAGTTGCGAACTGATGAGGTTAGTGATTACGAGTTAACTGCTTAACAGATGTGAACGAATGTGAAACGGTTGGTCGTTGTCGCCAGTACGAAGAGTGCATCAATACACCGGGTTCGTATAGGTGCCAAGAGAAGGGGAATCTCTGCACGAATGGATATCGTATGGATCTGGATACAGGATTTTGTGTTGGTTAGTGAATGCAATAGTGATGCGATCACATTCACATCTTTCAGTTGAATCATAGCCATTGTTATACTGCATTTTTGTGTGTGTGTGCACATGAACTTGATTTCTTATGCAGATATAAACGAATGTGCTGAGGGTACTCATCAGTGTGACGATAAACAGTGCATAAATCTTCTTGGCACGTACAAATGTCGGTGTTCAGCTGGTTACGATTTCAATGAAACGGTAAGTAATCCTGATCATATCATCCTCATAACCTAGGTTTCAAACCATTATGAGGTTCGTTTGAAGTTTGCTTATTTGCGTGATCAAGCACTGCGTACTAAATTAGGCTCATGAGCAGCTGCTGTACATTGAGAAAAGATGAGGAATCGCTAAAAAATGTTTGCTGATGTTTAGAGATCTATTGAACACTTTTGATTGAGTTTCAGACAATGCGATGTGAGGATATTGATGAGTGTATGAAATTTGCTGGGCATGTTTGTTCATTACATGCGACATGCGAGAATACGATTGGTTCATTTGAATGCCACTGTAAGGAAGGCTTCAAAATCGCAAAGGATGGACGGAACTGTGACGGTTTGTTGTAGTCGAGCTTCGGTTCGATCATTCTGTTTGGATGAATTAGAGAAGGATTTCAGTCGCCTATATTTTGGCATGAATGGTTCTTTCATTTGCAGACATTGACGAGTGTGAATTGGGTATAGCGAAATGTGCACAGAAATGCATCAATATACCAGGCAGTTATCAGTGTATTTGCGAACGTGGCTATCAGTTAGGCGCTGATGGCATCACTTGCGAGGATATTGACGAATGCTCGCTTTGGGCTGGATCTGGTAGATTTCTCCTTTCATTCCAGTTCATTTGAAAGTAACAAAGCGATTATATCTTCATATATTGTCGCCATCACAATTAAAACTTTTATCATAGTAATCATGTCAGTGGTGAAAACTTAATAGAAAAATTTATCCACCGAATGCCCGCCATGATCAAAAATAGCTGTGATGCAGCTGTTCATATCAAATGGTTTCTGACTGTTTCATTGTACGCTCTTCAGACTGCATTCTTATCGTTCGTTATGTAAATTGCCTCAGAAGTTTAATCCTTTGACTGCCGGCAAATATCTCACTTAATCGGAGATCCTCACAAGTTAATATTGTTCTTAATAGGTGATGAGCTTTGTATGGGTGGTTGTACGAATACACCAGGATCGTACATTTGCAATTGCCCACTAGGATATGAAATCCAAAAAGATGCAAGAACTTGTAAAGGTTTGCCTCTATATTCATTTCATGTTTGCCTTCGAAA